TTTTAAAATTTAAATCATACTTCTTTAATCAGAACAGAAAACTTGATAGGAAATACCTTCTTTACTAGAGGGCATGAAGTGCTATAGGAATATTTCTTTAATCAGAACAGAAAACTTGATAGGAAATACCTTTTTTTACTAGAGGGCGTGAAGTGCTATAGGAACATTGAAACAAATGGGACTAGTTGAGGTTAGCTGGGAATAAAATTGTACCATTGTTGTTAAAGCTAATCAATGTTTTTTAATATACCAGTTCATCTTAATACAAATAGCCTGTAGGAAAAGCTGTTGTAATAAATTACTCAAATCAGCTTTGAAAATCACTTTTGTTTACTTTAACTGGAGATAACTTATAAAGAATCCATTTTATTTTCAAATAATAAGCTTATATTACTCTGGTTTACAAAAAATATTTTCTGAATTACAGAAAATCTGTTTCTGGCTGGTGGTCTATCATTTCATCAAGTAAAAATAAGAAGTTAAGGATCATTTACAGAAATTAATAAAGAAATTACTTTAAATTTATAAAACAGATTAATAATACAAGGAGCAGTTACAGGATAATAAATTGAATATGCAACTGAGTGGGAATATTTTACTGTAAGAACACTCAGGCATATCAGGTACTGCAGCATTTTACAGTGGTGGTTTAAATTCCAACTGCTTGAGGATATGAAGCTATTAGAGACCATCCAAAGGAGGGGTACAGAGATGGGGAAGGGCCTTGAGGGGAACCCATTTGAGGAGCAGGTGAGGTCATTTGGTCTGTTCAGCCTGGGGGAGACTGAGGGGAGACCTCACTGCACTTGAGGGGAAGACAAGGGGCAGGCACTGATCTCTTCTGTCCTGTGACAGGACCCAAGGGAATGGCCTGAAGTTGTGTCAGGAAGGTTTGGGTTGGATATTGGGCACTGGAACAGGCTCCCCAGGGAAATGGTCACAGCACCAAGGCTGAGTGTTCAAGGAGTGATTGGACAATGCTCTCAGGCAAAGACTTTAAAGTTATAAACTTACAGTATTTGCTAGTGTGTTATTCATGTGTACCCTTTAAATTTCTGTCTCTCAGTGATTTCTAATTTTATAAAGGCAAAAAAAAAAAATAAGGCAAACAACAGCATAAAAGTAGTTTAGTAATCCTGTAAGAGAACTGTAAATAAGACCGCACCGCAGTACTTACCCAAGAATGAAAACTCTGCCTTGGCTTTTTTTTCCGTTATAGGAGATTTTGCTGTCCTTCTAAAAGCTGGTATGACTGTCAAGCAAGCTGTGCTTTATAATGCTCTGTCAGCTATGCTGGCCTATCTTGGTATGGCGACTGGGATCCTTATTGGTCATTATGCAGACAACGTTTCAATGTGGATATTTGCACTTACTGCTGGCTTGTTCATGTATGTGGCTCTTGTGGATATGGTAAGTGCCTAGACCTATTTGGATTTTGTGTAACACAGTTTAAGAATTAATGATTTGAAGCAACTGTTTGTTTTGAAGGTATTTAACACCTCCTTGTTTGTTTAGGTACCTGAAATGCTCCACAATGATGCCAGTGACCATGGATGTAGCCGGTGGGGATACTTCCTGTTACAGAATGCTGGGATTCTCCTGGGGTTTGGAATAATGCTGCTTATCTCAGTATTTGAACATAAGATTGTATTCAGCATAAACTTGTAATCCTGGTTGCCAGGAAGACACCTTGGTGTTAAATTATAAGTGATAGGGTTTGTTTTCTATTAATTTCCTTATTGGAAAGGTACATTTGATATAGACTAGATATTTTTGTTGGTGTGCTTTGTTGTTGTGTACTTCCTTCCCTTCTTGCCTGATAGAAAGGAACACTGTAAAGTTTGGGGTTTGTTGGGGTTTTGTTTGTTTGTTTTTGTGTTGTTTTTTTTTACTTGGGATTTAGCATTGCTTATGGTACTTGGAAGTGGTACTTAGTAAAACATGGCCAAATCTATATTATTTTTATTGTCTGTATTGTTTGAGGGGTTAGGTTGTTTTTTTACTGAATTTATTTACTGTATGTAATTATATGTAATGTTTTTTACTTCAGTGGTTTTGCTGGTTTAAAGAGGTAAAACAAAAGTGGTTTTTATTTTAGCACATTCGAATCAGTGGATACAAAGCACAGTGAGCAAAGTAAAACAAGAACAAGACATGTAATGGTTAGCATGTGTTTATTGGTAAAAACTCACCTCTTCTGCATCCAGCTGGTTTATACAGAAAGGCAGATAAGTCCATTCCATTCTTTGTGGTGCTGCCGGTTCTCTCAGTGGCTTGTGGATTCCTGTGTCTTATTCCAGTTGGTTTCTACTCCAAACAAATTGATGTCAAACCATGTTTTAAGTGTTTACATCAAATGTTTAACTTGTTTCATCCATTCTGAGTTGCTCTTCACTGGTTTCTCAAATCAGCAACAAAAGTCCAGCTCTTAAATTGCCAAAGCTTTAAGAATTCCATCAGAAAGACTTTAAAAGCAGTGCTGTATCCCACTTACACTGCCTGAAGTGACAAAGGTGTATTAAAGCCTGTTTGATATCAAGGAGGAGGAGTGCTACAGGCTGTGATAAACAGTCATTTCCTACAAAAGCTTCCTGAAGTAAAGTGTTGATTTACTTTGGGAAAATGAGCTGAGTGGGAGAGCTGCCTACTTCTAGTTCAATGTGATTGCACACAAACCTGTGCTACATTTTTTACAAAAACTAAAGCTGAGAAACCCAAAATAAGAATTTCTTTGGTAACATATCTAGAGAAGCAAGGTGTTAAAGATAAGTGTATGCTTAAGTATGTAGTTTAAGCCTACAGTCTTAATATGTTTAACCACCCTGAATGTCACTGAAGGAAGAAGATTGAAAAAAAACAATAGCAAAATAAATTCTGCATTAGCAGGGAAGGTGAACATGTCAAAGTTCTTTAATGATGAATAAATAACAGGATTATGCTATCTAACTAGCTAGCTGTAAAAATCCCAGACATAAAACAATTAGAACCTATTTCTGATCCACTGCTTCAAACCATCAGCTGAATAAAAAGCTTGAACAAGATAAATGTTTGATAATACTGTGTATGACAGGTTAAAACAGTTTGTTGGTCTGTCATACAATGAAAGACCATTCTATCACCTCAGAAATAGATGCTTTCAATTAATGGAGAGGTTTGAGGATCTTTTAGGAGTTGAGAAATGGGTACCACATGAGTTTTTGCAGCCAGTGGACTATTAACTTCTCTTCCTTCAGCCTTTCCTCAGGCTGGCAATAGTTGATACTTACTTTTTTGCTCACAGTGATGAAATCCTGTTCTGTGTCTCCTTGGAAGCCAGGGGTTGAGAAAGGTGTTCTTCCTTCAGCTCTCCTAATGCATCCCTGAGTCCTAGCGGGCTTTTTATGGCTTGGGCATGGTGTTTACCTGTGGTGTGGGAAAACTCCATAAATACAGTGCACTTCAGCCTGTGGGGCTTCCACCTTCTGCACCGCAATCCTGGCTGCTACAGAAATCGGGCATCTCTGTAGTCCTGGGGCATTTCAGACTTGGATGAGCTCAGTTTGCTTTGAATTTTTCACTGCTGGTTTCTGTTAGCCACAGCCATAATAGCTGCCAGTTCAGCTGGATTTCTCTTGTCTGGATATGACACAGGAAGGGGGCCGGCAGCCTACTGTTGTTCAAGAGATTTTAATATTAATGACTAAATGATGGCGATAAATCTACAAATTAAAATTTCCATGTTTCCAGTGGGTTCTTGGCTGGCTTATGATGTACTTGACTGACATTAAAATATCCACATATCAAAACCCATTGCTAATTTAGGAATAAAGAAAAATCAATTGCCTTTAGAGCATGTGGGCAGAAATGTCTCTATCCTGTACACAAACATATTCCACCCAGTCAGTGTTCTTTAGTCATTGATGGAGAAACATCCATGACAGGCAGCTGTGCAAACCGATAACTGAGAAGGCTACAGACTAAAAATTGCTGTAGTTTTGTATCAGCAGAATGACAAAATGTTGGTGGTTCTTTCTGTTTGTTTTGAGTTGTTGTTTATCTTGGTTGGCCTTACAAAGTAGAATCTGCATTTGTTGCAATGTACTCGTGTTGGAAATACTCGAGGTTTGGCAAACTGGTGGGACAGAGCCTCTAAGTAGCCCTTTATTTTTATGTGTCTATCTTTCTGCAGCAGTTTTTAATGTGCCTGGCTACTCTGGATAATAAATGCAAGTGTCTGCTTTGTGTATCTGCAGCATAATAATGGTACAGACCTTAATTTTTATGCTGTTACAGCTGCCTTTAGTGCCTGTGCTAGATGCAGGTAAACAGAATAGGCAAACAATGCTGGAATCAATTTTGGTTTGGGTTTTTTTCTGTAACATATTCTAATGGTTTTGGCCTGTGTTTGTACAGAAGAGGTGTCATGTTACTTTGGGCAGCAGGAGTCAGAGCAAAGGTGTGGAGGTTCTCCAAGTTCTCCCCTGCCTGGCCTGTGGGATCAGGTGCTGGTACGGTTTCTCTGCATCCTTTGTGCCTGAGTGTGATGCCACGTGTGCTGTGGGAATGCAACTCCTTTATATGTATAAAAAACACAGCCCAGGCTGTGAATTCAAAGGGTAGAATAGAATTCACAGAGGCTCTCCTGCTGCCTGAACTGAGACACCAGTGCAGTTAAAATCTCTTGTGGAAAAACTGGATCGTTCTGTTTTCCACGAGCAGAGAACAAAAAGATGTTTTAATGGAATATGGGTTGTTTTTGTTTGGTTGGTTGTTTTTTTTTAATCTTAAAGTACGTTTCTGGTGTGTGTATATATGGTCACTGTAGCTGTTACTGTTTTGCTGTGTGCTAGAGAAAATAAACCACTGAACCAAACCGCAGGCGTCTGAGCGTTTTTCTCAGTGATGCAGATACGGCGAAAGATGTTAGAGCCTCGAGAGGAAAAAAAAAAAAAAAAAGGTAGTAAATATTGTGTTTCCTTCGGGTTTCCCGTGCCGGGGCGGGGCTGGGGCCGGGGCCGCCCTCTGCCGTCATCGCGGCGCGCCGGGCCGGGCCGGGCCGGGCATGGCTGAGGGGGCGGCGGGGCCGGGCGGCGCCGAGCGCTACTTCACACGCTGGTACAAGCCAGGTACCGCCGGGGGCCGGGCCGCGCCGGGCCGGGGCGGCGGCGGGGCCCTGACTCCTCTTTGTGCCCTTCTTGCAGACGTGAAGGGGCGGCCGTGCGAGGACTTCTGCGTGCTGCAGCACTCCAACAGGCGAGTGGCCGGCGCGGGTCGGGGTCGGGAGGCGCCGGGCTGCGTTCGGCCGGGGCGCTGCCGCAGCCGGCACAGGCAGGGCTGGCTGGGACACAGCACCGGGCGAGCCTGCTGTCCGGGACGGTGGGAGGATGGGAGAGAGACAAATCGGCCTCCGCATCCTTTAATTTCTGCTGCAGTGAGAAACAGGGAGGCTTGGCCTCTTCGCCCCTGACGGCCCCCTCGCACTGCCCAGCGGTGGCCGTGGTGCTGCCCTCGCTCCCTTGCACCTTCTCTTGCTGACAGGGCCCGTACGCCGGCCCGAGGCGTGGGCATGGAAAGGCTGGACGTGGCGCTCAGGGCCTGCTGTGGTTCACACGGTGGTGTTCGGTACAGGCTGGACTCGATCTCAGAGCTCTTTTCGAACCTAATTGATTCTGTGATCAGCAGTAGCAGACGAGAAACGTTCCAAAAGGCTTTTGCGTAATGACATTCTGAAGGAGTCTGTTTAACTTCATTTAGAAATCGTTCAGTTTGAACAAACATTCAGCTTTTTCTAGAGAAAACTTAATTGCTTTTCCTTGTACATTTGTGCACTAATAGATGATGAAGGCAAGATAGGAAAGCGTCTTGCTTCTGCTTGGATGTAGCTGGATATCCAGTTATTTAGAGTCAATCTGTACCTGATGTGGAGTCTCCTTCCATACCTGACCTCCCCCTGCTGCACCTCTCAGGGCATCAGGAGCATTGGTGGGGTGTCCAGTCCCAGAGGGAAGAACAGAACCTAACTACTGTCCACACAAAAACCCAGGGCCAGTGGCTCATGGGTTGAGGGAAGGTGAGGTAGCATTTGTGGTCCCGGTGAGTTGCCTGCTCTAGGAATTCAGAGTAAAAGGAAGGATATGCTTGGCACAGGGCAGAACCATCGCTGCAGCCTTTGGAGTTGCAGCTTTTCTGTGGCTTTTTCCTGCAGTTCTTCCTCTATTCTTTCAAAAGGGAAACCAGAGTACCTTCAAATAACAGGTGTGACAGTAACAGCAAGGAAGGACACCCTTCCATTTGTACTGAATACTGAATATAAGGTTCCTAATCTCAGTGTCTGATATAAACAATAGTTAAACCCATTGATTTGTTCAGTTGTCTATGTAGACTACTCTGCTGCTTTCAAATGAGAATTATCAGAACCCTTGGATTCCACAGCAGCTCAGCCAGATGTTCTGTGAAGTATTTTACCATTATTATATATAGGGCTGTGGTTCAGTTTGCTGTTTCTAGGCAGTGTGAAGTTGTCTCTTGATTTTTTGTTTTACGAGGTCTCAGCTCCATCAAGTGACAGCTCAAAGATAATTTGTCATCTTCCCCTTAGAAGGAGGCTGGGGTGAAGGGAGGTAGCTTTGCTGCTAGGACATGCTGGATGCATTCACCAGGATCCGGCTCCCTCTTGTGGGAGCTGTGCAGCCACAACTCCCCAGGAGGAGAGTGGGGAGATGGATACAGCATCCACAGGGAGAGATCTGGTTCTCTGCCCTGCTTTTCTCTGCAGTCTCTCTTCTGTTGATTCTGGTGCTTGCTGTAGGTTTTATAGTCTCAAACAGAACAGCTTCCACTCTCTTTGTTTAATGACAAGTTCATGCTTGTGCACTGAGCATGGTTCTAGGCCAGGCAGGCCTAGTCTCTGCAGCTGGGCTCGTCTCAAACTGTCCAGCATCATGGTAAGAAGTAACCCTCAATTAGAAAAAATGAAATGTAAGCAGCAAGTTAACTAAGGCCAGATCACCAAAGGATTCCTCAGGATTCCTCACTGCATAGGGCCTTTAGCTGTTGAGAAACACTTCTTTGTGGTTTTTTTGTAACAAAAGTACACCGTGCTTTACTTGTTTATCTTAACCTGAGTACCTACTTCAGCTACCTGCTGAAATGAACCAACCAGGCTCTCATGGGGCACAACAGATAGAGCAGCACTGGCTTATTTAAGAGCAGTGGTTTTCTTTCAGTAAGAAGTGTAGGGCTTTTTACAGTCCAGTCTGATATCTCAAAATGAAGCATTTTCCATGGCAGTGGCTTTAGGTCAGAATGCCATTTTTGTTCAGTTTGTTACAGGAGGTGTCAAAGATAGGCAGAGAAAGTTGTGGGACATGCTTAGAGCACAAAGCTGTGGCTTCTTACAACTACAGTGGAATAATTATTTTTTTTTTTTTTCCAGAATCTGTGTCATCACCTTGGCAGAAGCCCACCCTCTTCTTCAAAGTGGGAAAACAATTAAAAACATTAATTACCAAATCAGTGCAAACTGTAGCAGACTTCAGAATAAGGTCTCTGGGAAGTCAAAAAGGGTATGGCTTTTTGATTTCCTTAGTTTTCATTTTAATCTCTCACACTGTCTGAGATCTTTCTGTCCTTTCTTGGAGAGAAACCCAGCAGGTTACTTTTGTATTTCACTTAAAACCAGCCTCTCTGCACTTGAAGAATTTTGACTTTCTCAAGAGGTGCCTGTCTGCCTGGCCCAGCCAGGGCCTTGCAGTGGTCCTACAGCACTGGTGGTTTCCAGTGTTGCTCAAACACACTCGCTTCCAGTAATTATTTTAGTAGTGTACAGCGGGACATAAACATCCCTGAAATAATAAAAATGTATTTCTAAGATACATGTATTTCTAAGGATTTGGAGACTAGATAGTGGATGGGCCAGTTCAGTGTGGTGGGTTTTTGAAGGTGCAGTTTAACTTGCTTACACCAAAACCAATGGTGCTGTTCCTCTCCTTTCTCCCCTGACTTCAGTCTCCTCAAAGTACAAGTTTGCTAGTCTGCAGGAAACTTAATTATGACTAAATCTGTAAGCTTGTAACAAGCCTCTATTTGATTTGTGCACGTAACTAAGTTGGCATCTTCCCTTCTGTAGGGAAGAACAGCTCAGTAACTTGGAATGACCCATAACAATCACACATCCTTCCTTTCAAACACTGCTGATGGTAATACTTTTACAAGTCTTGTGTAATTAAAACTACAGCCATGTTTATTTGTTTTCCAAATGCAGGGAGCTCAGTTTTTAACAGAACTTGCCCCTCTGTGCAGGATATCTTCATCAGATGGAGAGGAATACACCATTTACAGGTAAGGTTTTTCCCATTTTTTCTTACCCTGACATACCCCACACATCTACAGAATGTGAACACTTTTGCAGTTGCATACGAGGGCGGCTGATTGAAGTGAACGAGAACATCCTTAGTAATCCTGCTCTTCTGCAAGAAAAGGCAAGACACTTTCTTGTTCTTTATTTTTCAGCTTTTATTTCACTGCTAACTTCAGCCTTGCTTTTTAGCCATCAACTGAGGGGTACATTGCAGTGGTTCTACCCAAATTTGAAGAAAGCAAGAGTATAACTCAGGGACTTCTGACGCAAAAGGAGTATGAGGAAGTCTTGATGAAACGCCGCAGTTCTGCTTCATGAAATCAATTCCACACTTCCCTTCTGTGTTTGATACTAAATAAGTGACTTTTATTGTACACTGTGAGTTTTATAGTATGGAAAAGGCCCAGTGCCAGTTTTTTAAAAGTGGAACTCCTTGATTCATAAAAGAATAAAGCAGTTCAAATAGTTTGTATATTAAAATTTCTGTAAAAACTTGACATAAAATTTTTCTTTTTCTCTGAATACTATCACTACTGGTTTTTAAATAAGCTCAGAATGAAATGTTGAAGATTATTTATGTTCCACAATCAGCTTTGCTTCTGCTTAATGCAAGCATAGTACATACAGAAAACTCATAGCATTTAGCTGTCATGTAATTGAGCTAAACTAATACAATAGGGAGTTTGACACAGGGGAATGGAAAATAAAAAAGTAACAAAAGCCTGTACAAAGAGAAGATAAATTTGAAAATACGTATTTTACACCAAGTTGTATTTTCATGGTATCCTGAAGTCAAATAATGCCCTTTGTACAGAGTTTTGTAATAATCAGTATCTATTTTCTTCAGTTTTAAATGGCATAATGTCAAGTCTGCATAATACTTCAGTGGTTCTACAGGCAACTCAAGTTCTGCTCACTAAGTTTTAATAAGAAAGCAAGCAACATCTGCCATCTACAAATAGAGTAAAAGAAAAAGGGTTTGAGTCAAAACTGTTAATCACTTAGAAATATACTTCTTGTGGAGATGAATCATGTCAAGATTAAAATTCAGAGGTGCATCTATTGAAAGGTTTTTTTCCCCCCTACAATTACTTCATTGCAGGTATAACTTGTAACTAAGGTAACATTTCAGTGCTTCAAGCCACAGCCTTTCAGACTATATTCCTGATTCTGCTTTATATCAAATACCTAGACTGAAATAGGCCAGAGATGAGTTTACAGACTTCAACAGCAGTGTTACATGTAGCATATGCAGCATGGGGGTCTTTATGTAAAATGTCTATTAGCAGCATCTTTGGGTTGACACATCCATTAAGACATTCAGAAGCATTAATTACAAAATAGCAAGCACAGGAAAGGCATTCACATTATAAAAATACAGAATATTTAGACTAGCTTGTGTTTTAATGGCTAAGTAATGGGACATCTATTAGATGTGACAAAGGTCAACAGTTTTATATCAAATTAACCTGGCTTGACTTTCCACAAATGAAAGCAGTATTGAAACTTCAGCAAGTGTTATTTTCAAATGGGAATTCCTGCATTTCTCAGTGCTACGATTACTTGCTCTCTAAAAACGTCATGTTTGTTACATGATTTTCTAAAGACTTGATGCCAAATGTCTCCACTCTTCTTTCTGGAGTACGTGCATTTGTACCAGTTCGTATTCTGTCTTCTTTCCATGGTGGAGCAGGCTTAAGACAACCATTTCCCGCTTTATTCTGTGTATGTATATAAGAAAGATTTCTTAAAAACAACCAACCAACCCAAGCAAACAACCCCCAATAGTTTTAAATAGTGCAGATTAAGCTAGCACTCACCTTTCTCAGTAATTTGCAACAAAGTGGAAGAAGTTGACATAACAAGGTCATCACATTCCTTGTTTTCAGAATGCATGCATCAACCTAAACAAGACAATTAATAGTAGAGTAATACCTATTACTCAATACTTGTGTTAAGCAGTTGTTTTTGGCATGAGATGATCTGTTTTGAACTGGGTTAAGTAATACTTTTCCTGTTAAAATATCTCCTAATCAAATGGGTTTGCCTACTTTTTTTTATACTTCTCTGTATAGTATATGTAAAACAAGAGCATCCCTTCTGTTAAGCACAACTTAGCAGACATATTCCAAGAGAATGAACTACTAATAATATTATATTAAACAGTAACAGAAGTCTCTTAGAAAGTATCTATTATGATCTAAGCATGAATCACCACAATTCTTCATGTTTTCCTTTTTCCAGCATGATTTAGAGAGCCATGCCTTAGTTTGTTGTTACACTGAAAGTTATCTTAACACTCAGTACAGATCTCATGTGTCTCAAATGTCTGATCCCTCAGACATTAATTTGAGAACCCGTTACTGCTATGTACTGATACCTCACTGTATAACAGACTGAAGTTCCCATTTAATTTAGAGGGTGGAAAACAAACCATGCAGTAGCCCCAAGGTGCTGAGTTTGGTTCTGAGTGGCTTGCATGCTTTAGCCAGTTTCACACCCTGCTGTAAAACTGAAACTCCTTTTCCACAGCCAATTGCAAACAACCATCCAGCTTCATGGAAATGGTCTTGCTCACATTGATTGCTGCTGGCTCAGGGATAATGATCCCCTCTGATCTTTGCAGATGTACTTCTTGTGTTAACAGTGATGAAACTTTCATGGCAGATATCTATGTAGTTATTTAAAGCAAATATGAATATCTGAAAAAAATCTGCGCAGTCCAGGGTCGATGCTGCCTACTGAGAAGCAAATGTGTTTCAGTAGTGGAGTTGGGGGTTTGGAATTTGTTACATTTATGTTAAACATCAGTAACAGTAATAACAGTAATTATTACAGTGGTGGAAATACATATTACCTTCATTAAAATTTTGATCCCTGAAGTGCATACTGAGGTACACTTAATTACAGTTCCTGTTTATCTGAATGGAATTCTAGCGGATTACAGTACCACTGCAACCTAGTTCTATATTTTAACAGGAGCATAAATTAGTAAATCACTTTATTTCAAAACAAGTTAGGTGTTACTTTGAGAAATATAGAATTTTTTACCTTACCTTTGTAAATGTAGCACTTTTACCCTGAGCAGAAGCTTTAGCTGTTGTTTGGAGCTGCTTGCACATAGAGATGAGTTTTTCAGCCTCCAACAGAAGCAAAGGCTTGTCATCATCACGTACCTGGTACATCGTCCAGAAAGACAAAATAACTCTGTGTTAAAGACTGCAACATCAAGTTAAGGGAGAAGACAGCACAAGCAACTTCTAAGCGGTGTCACTGATGTCATAAGATACATCACCTGATCAGAAAGAGCATGAAGAGCTGAAGCAAGTTTTGTGCCCTCTGTGGCAAAAATCTGAAAGTAAGAGAAAGCATGTAACAAAACAAATCACAACAGAAGGTAAGGCTTTTTCCCTCGTGGTTTATAGTGGCTTTTATGTAAAAAGGTAGCAGGAAATACTTGTAATAATTGTATACATCTACAATTCACAAGTCAGCAGTTTGCAGTGACTTCTGAAATAACAAGCTATACTACAGACTCCCATCCTCACAGATAAGCAGAGTTGAAAGGCTTTCCCTTTAGATATAACAAAACCCCCAACTTCCAATTATTTTTTGCACCGTGGCAGCTCACAAATGTTTTGTGATGACACCTGCCCCGTTTGTTTATTGTCCTTTCAAAGGTAACCAGTCTCCTGTTACACACAGGTATGCATCCTGGAAATAGCATCCCACATCCCTTCATTTGGGCCCTTCTGTTTGCATTGGGCAAGTTTTTACATCTTCTTTCTTTCCCATGAACATCCTGCTGCTCAGACTAGGATGTTAACACTACCAGGGACTGAGCTGAGTGACACAACAAACACTACAGATGTGCTGAAATCCACTCTATTTGCCATAATGCCAGTTTGCTATCCTTGCTCCTAGCCGGAATCTGTCAGTGTAATGATCCTGTCTGAAGCTACTACTGGAACACTGGGAATATGTATCACTTTCAGAATATGTATCAGAGTTAGGCTGCTCAAAGTCTACAGCTGCCAGTCAATTCATGGTACACAGTACTTATGTGTAAGGAATCAAGACACTGAAGTTCATGTTTGGCTTCACTGACAGTGTCTATGTCCTATTTTGTTAAAAATACATTACCTCTGCCTGATGAAATAAATCTTGAGTAGTTTTCAGAAGTCCTTCTCCTCTGTGAGAAATAACAAAAGCAGAAGATATGCCATTTATAGACTGTCGATTATTTTGCTTGCTACTTACAAAAATTATAGTATCGCCACTGAACATTTTACAGTTCACACCAGTGAACTGTAAATATCAGTCTTTAGAAGATACTAGACACAACTACCCACAATAACTGACTTTAAAAATACTACACAAACACCTCAGTAGCTACAGCACTCTTGGGGAATTAACAATGGCTCAGTTCTTATAAGTTGAACAAGACCAGAAATGACATCTCTGGCATACTGAGTATTATTGGACTAGTAGGTAACCAAAAAAAAATCTCTGGTAAAAAAGCCCAAGCAAACCTAAATTCTTCATGTAAGAACGCTGACATTGCACAGGAAAATTTCAGATAAACACTTTTCAGTGCAAGGATCAGTAATTCTCATCTACAGTTATATCTCATCTACAGATATATACTTGCGCTTTAATTCCCTTAATTTTCAAAGTATTTATGAACATACTTCTTAAAATGTTTTCCATACCCAAGAGACATTTAAATAGATGCCCTCCAATGAAACAGATGTTAAGCCCTTTAAAAATAAAGTGGGGTTTAAAATTAAGAGGTTTTTTAAACAGTTTAGAAATTTATAAAAATTTATAAAGCCTACAGACAGAATCAAGTTCTTTTCTAAATGGGTCCTAATTATTATACCCGGAAAATGAAAGTGTGTTCTTTTTTATAAACACTGTAAATACTCTTTTTCTGACCAAAATTTGTCACGTGCAGTGTAATTACCTGGTAAATAAATACATGGAGTAGGCCATACTTGACATGCCTTGCCCATGTTGCACAATCTCATTCTCCTGATCCTCCCATTTCTCTGTCTCAGAATCCACATCAGATGTTAGAAGATGCAATTCTAATCCAAGTTTTGCAATTTTGGCCTGTTCCTGTAAATGAGAACCATATTTATGGCACTTAAAAACGCTTTCTTTAGATAAGATAAAAATATGAAAGGAGTTTTTTTACTAAAATGATGGCATCTTACCTCAGTATCAAGTTTGACTGGCTTTAATGCTTTCAGATTTGCATTATGCTTCTGTTTCAAACAAAAAATAATATTTTTAAATAAAAGGAATTGGTAATCATTTCACTAGCAAATCTTAAAGAGGTAACTCTATATTCAGAGAAAGACTTTGCAGGAGAGTTCCAGAGGTTCAAACAAACTTCTCAGCAGACACTGAGAACCTGATCTGATCTGTCTGTCCTGGAATAGCAGGTGCAGATGCCCTGAAATTGCATGGGAAAGACCTCTTCCACAGTTCTCAGGCTCCACTTCCTAATGCAGTAC